AGAGGTAGACACTCATCCTCCTTAAGCACACTGGGAGTTTATGAATCTTGGATTTTCCAGTGATTTGGTCTTGTCCTTATTGAGAGCCTGAGGATAATGCAAACTTTCAAGTTCCTAAGAGCTCCCACTCTGCTGAGAATAGGAAGAGGCTGTTCGTGATCAAGATCACAGTGTATAAAGGACAAAATATCCAAAACACGGTTTGAATTCTCTATGAGAATGAAGAGGCAAAGAAATTCTTGCTCTTTACAACAAGCTTGGGTCAAGTCCAGGTTTTGAAGTTGCATGGCTCCTATCTTGGTGTGAATAGAGAACTATACAAAGGATATTTGAGTTTCCTTGAACTCAAGCTTGTGGATATATTATCATTTACTGAGTACATTTAAAAAAAAAACCCCACCAGATAAAATTAAGCATACAAAATCAGTCCTCCAGTGATATTATTCCCAATTCTGTCACTTGATATGGGATAAAAGGTAAATTGGATATTTCAGCATAATATAGTAAGATGCTTCCATTTTTTTTGAGAACATGCTATTCGAGCACATCCATTTTTAGGGGAATACTAAATAAAAAGCAAGATGACAGCTTGCTAGGTCAGGAACTGCTAGACCTTCATTATTTTAAACAGCTTGGAGCACTGCAATATTTAGCCAGTGTGTGTGTGCATGTGTGCTTTTTCAGAAAATTTTACAACACGGGTTTGTAATGTTCCAAGGCTATGCTGTGGCAATAAAAAATAATGTCTTATTTACAAAGTGCAGGAACTCACGGATTTTATTCTCCTGGATGTAATTTCAGTTCCTTTTTTTTTTTAAGTACGAGGATACTTTAAGAAGTGCATTTAGTCAGCTGTTGACTAATGGCTCTTAGCTCTTCATGAAACAGACAATGACTCTGCATAGAATATCAAACTCAATAGAAACAACCACAGTAATGGAAGAAGAAATCTTTGTTGTAGAGTTATTACATGAATGGAAACACTGGCAAAACAGAAAGCTTTCTAAGGAAAACATCACCAGATTTTGATGAATACCACCTCTTTTGATGTGCCTCCTGCTTTTTCTCTTCTCTGTAATTGTTTTTGAAAGGTTTGTTAAGGAATTTCTGATGACTTTTGATAGCTGAAACATAAAGCACTTAATAGGAACCAGAAAGCCATTTAAAGGTTTGTAATAAATTCATATATTGCCATTATATTTCTCTCAGATTGTAATGTCTCTTTTGTACTCCAGATGCCATCTCAAAAAATAAACTTCGTACAGAGCATATGGATCAAATTTTAGCCAGAAGGGAAAAAAATTGTTGACTTGGCACTTGGTATTTGTGACCCACGGAGTACTTTTACAGCCAGCCAAGTCATCAGTTTCCTTTTCTGCTAGGCAGTGGCAGCTCTGACTCCTGAAGAACACCTTTGCATGTGAAGCCTGGGTAACTTAACTCTGGCAATGATGAATGGGTACTGCAACTGACTGTAACTTAGAAAATTCAGTGCTCAGCATTGGAACTGTAGCAAATCTGAAAAACTGAAAAATGGATGGCAGGACTGAAATGATGTAGAATACTATGGAATTATTTAATGGGTCCCTACTCTAGCAAAGTCCTTGAACTAAGTCAAACCAGAAAGGACCTATCAGAAAATGCACACTGTTCTCTTGAAGAAAAGATTGCAGGGTGAGAAACCCACCGACATAACGATGGTAAGAAGCAGGGATCTCAGATATCACAGACACAGGATAAGAACTGAATAGTGTGGTCACGAGCATCTTAAAATTAGCCCTGTTCTTTTGACTCTTTCTCCTTGTTTTTTGGGAATCTTGTTTTGTGAGAGGAATATATTTTTTTCTTGGGATGCTTTTCATTTTTTGGTGCCTGTGTGCAAATCCTTTCAGTCACTTCTGTTCTTGCAGTTCACTGCTGAGTGTTATGTAGATGTGCATGCTGTATACTGCTCCTGAAAGAAAAATATCCATGAAATGAAACCAGAACCATAGCAAAGCTCAATACAGAGACCATATTTTATTACTTAGCTTGTAAAGTAATTTACTGTTCAGTTGCTCATACAAAAAGGCTGCTGAAAGTAATAAAAAATTCAGGCATGCCTAAACCAGTAATTTAAATCAAAGATATTTTTTACTTTGTTATTAAGATGAAAGTTAATTTTAAAAGACTGTATTAATACCAGTTTTAAAAACGTAGAATATTGTAATTAAATTTCGAGAATGTTTTTCTCCTAACGACTAAGAGGACAGCAGGGACATATCCAGCTTTCTGTACTTATTTGCAAATCACATGTACTTACTTATTGCTAATTTGTGTAGCTTGTTGTAAACCTAGCAACAGTTTTTGTGCTTTCTTGGAAAAAAAGAGAAAAGACTGCTATCAGTAAAGCTCCTTTTCCTATTATACTGTCACTCAGCCTATGCTCTCTGCAGGAGACACCTGAACTCCCATATTTTAGCACTCAGAAAGCTTTTCCGTCAGGGAACTGCTGAATACCTTCAACTAGGTAACAGTATCATGAAGCTCTTGGTAAGGAACTGTCTGTGTTCATGTCTCTCTAAAGTACCTAATCCATATCAAAGGATAACCTGTCACTTAAGTCTCATGGGAGCTGTGGGAGTTACAAGACGTGCCTGTTTAGAAAGCTAATTCTACATTTGGCCTTGGAAGGTTTCCCAGCCACAGCAGGATTGCTACTGTGTCTCCCAAGCCAACTGGAAAATCTAGATTATATGTCTGGGTGATAATTAAGAGAAGGAAAAATGGTCTAGGGAAAAAGGAAGCAAGAATGACAACAGACATCAAGAAAATCTAGCATCCTTGATAGATATTCAAAAGTCATCTGGACATAGTGCTGGGTAATGAGCTGTGAGTCTGTTGTAGCAGGGGGCTTGGACCAGTCCCTTCCAATCTCAACCATTCTGTCATTCAGTGGGAGAAAAGAAGAAAGAAACCAAAACACAGAAATCCTCAAAACTCTGAGGTTTTAACAGTGAGATCTTGGCATCTAATTGTACAATATACAACCGTAGACAGTTATGCTATCTTTAAAACCTTCTTTAATAAATTCTCTTTTCTATTCATATTGCTGACAGTCTTGTTTCTTTTCTTCAGTCCTCTTCCTGGTCTACACAGAGCAGTGACACTTAGCAGGTCCTGATATGGCCATGTCCCTACAGGTCTGGAGGTGCTGCTACTTTGAGAAGTCAGGCTGTGTAGGGCTATAGAAACATATGCTCTCATTTTTGCATCATAGGAGGGGGCATAATTTTACAAAGTGGGAGACTTTTACTTATTGGAGCAGTCTGCGTTCTGGTGAGATTGATGAAATTTTACAAACATCCTGATCTGATGGGACTCATTAGAGCCACTGTAGAGAACCTGAATCACTGGCAATTACCCTTATGATTGTATGATCCTCATTAGGCTGATTAAACTAGCTTAGCACCATATTATGTAGGTGGCACCAGGCAATACTTTGCTGAAGAAGAAACACTAAAACTCTGAGTTGATATGAATTTTAGAAGACTACCCACTGAGAAGCCAAATAAAAAAAATGTGCCATTTTTAAATGACTACTATGGAAACAAACACTGCCTCAGTAAGGCTGGGATGAGCACATTCCAGCAAATCATTAAAGAATTCTACAGGCTACTGCTTACACTACAGGATGTGCTGCAAGCTCTTTGTAATACACTTACACTTGACCTCCTTCTAGGTAGAAGCTTGAGGTTTAGGTCAGTACGGAGGACTTTGAAGTCAAACAATAGTCAATGGCTATGAGAGCGGAACTCAGGATCTTTTGACTCCTGACAAAATTCATCCTTTTCTTTAGTGATTTCTGAATCAGGAGATGCTTGTACTCTTGCATCTGCAGAACACTGCTTGATTGGGAACAGGCAGCCTGATTCAGCAATTGTGCTGAATGTTCCCAATAGTCTTCAAAGCTGTTTTGTGTTTTTTAAGAAAATCCTTATTAAAAGAAAGGTATTTTTTTAACCAAACAGGTTAATGTTAGTACAGCAGAATCAGTTATTGCAGAAGAACAGAAGTGTCAAACCCCAAGAAGCATGTTTTTGCTTATTCTTCTCTAAAGAGGGAGAGAGGAAAAAAAAAGGTTATGATCCTGCTTCCAGAAATGCTGGGATACTAATTACTTGAAGACAGAATAAACACTGATTCTTTGATGTACCTATTAACTCACTACTCTCTGAAGCAAGCTGAATATTTCTCACTTGCTCCATCACGCCCTTGGCTGCTTGCTGGAACTCAACACAACCTGCGACCAGGATGCACCTGCATAGCTACTCCAATTATTCCATTAAAATGCTCACTGTACCTAATTGGGAATTTCATTGACATCATAAGAAAGGCAGCATTTTAAGATTTAAAGATAATTTAAACAGAAATTAAGGGAAAGCGCTGGCTGCAGTCCTTGGCGCTGGCAGCGACTCGTTTCACTCCTCCGCGACCTTCCCCCAGCCGAAGTTTTCGCGTGCCGCTCAGGTGCCGCACGCCGGGCGGCCCGCGGCGCTCACCCCCGCCCGGGGGACCAGAGCCAGCTGGGGGACCCGCAAAAACCGGCGGGCAGGGAGGGCTGCGGCTCCGCCGGGGGCAAGCCCGTCGCCGGGCGGGCAGGGGAGCGGCGGAGGCAGAGCAGCCCCCGCCTCCCGCCCGCTCTCCTCCCCCTTCCCCCGCTCCCGCCTTTTGTGCGCCGAGCCCGGGCGTCAACGGGCGCCGGCGGCCGCGGAGCTGACAGGAGCCCGCGGCTATCGGCCTCGGCAGCGGCGCTGTGGCGAGGGCGGCAGCGCTGAGCCGCGGCCGCTCCCGTCACCAAGGCGCTGCCTGGCACAGAAACACAGACAGAGACGGACTGACAGACACACGCAGCGCGGAGCGGCGCGGGCTCGGGGGCCGCCTTTGTAGCTGCTCTCCTCCTCCCTGCACCATGCTCCGCTCCAGGCAGCGCCCGCCCGCTGCTCCCTGAGGGCAGCCAGCCCCGTGCCCGGCAAACCGGGCGACTGACACCCGACTCCTTCCCCGCGGCCCCAGTTACCTGAGTTAGCTCCGTCCCGGGCACTTTGGCAGCGCCTCCGCCCTTTCCCGCTGTGGCAGCCCTTGTGCAGCGCAGGAGTGAGCCGCCAGCAGCCGGAGGGACTGCAGCCGCCGCCGGGGAAGACGAGCTCAAGCCCCCGCCTCCGGAGCTCTTCATGGCGTCTCACCAGCAGACGAGGATCCAAGCCTACCTGGAGAAGAATAAGATCGGTCCCCTCTTCGAGGTAAGGTGCGCTCTTGCCGTCCGGCTCCTCCGCGGCGGGCGGCGGTGGGGGCGGGGGTGTCCCCACGATGCCGTGGCCCCCCGCGCAGCCCAGGTGAACGTAGGGGCGAGGATGAGTTTGAGGCGCTGCTTCGGCAGTGCCGGCACCCCTCACTCTGTCCTGCCGCCCCGCACCACGCGTGTGCCCAGTGTCCCTCCTCTGCGCCCCTCCGAGCGCCGGAGCTCCGCGCAGCCCTCCCTTCCCGGCTATCCCGAGGATGTGCCCCGCTTCTTCGCCCCACCACGAACGCGCCGCCCCCTGCTTCGCACGATCCCGCGCCGGTCGTCAAACAGGTGCCCCTCCGCCCTGCCGCCCACGGCCCGAGTCCCCGCGGCCGCCCCCGCGGCGCTGCCGCCTCGCCCCGGCGGCCGCGGGACAGCGCCCGCCGTGCGCTGCGAGGGGAGGCGGCGCTTCCAACCCCCGCCGGCTCCGGGGCGGCAGCGCTGAGCACCGGGCGCCGCACGGCCCCGGGCGAGCCCCGAGGCGCTGCCCCTCCGAGACCGGCCAGCGGTGAGGGACAGGTGGGTGCCTCCCACCGGGAAACACACCCTCTGCAGCGAGCACTCGGAAAGAAGTGTGTCCTGCGAAAAGTCCGTGTTTATGGTGTTTTCTGACATTTCTATCTGCAGTCACACACCGTGTTTTTGCGATAGGTTTAACGTTTTCTTACAGCGATGCGCTTGCAGGGATTTGTAGATGCACAGATGTGCATATTTTACTATTTCAGTACATAAGCTGTGAATACTTAGAATTTGAAAGGGTGCTAGAGCAATCGTGATTATTACCATTTTATCATCCTGTTTCTTATGCAGTTTTAAACATCTAAATGCACATATATTATGCACTGCACTCGCAGTATTATCACAAGGCACAAGTCTCCTTTTTTCAGTGTTTAACTTGTTCTCAATCAAGCTTACTATGTATGAAATCTCTTTTATTCTGGTGTGGTGGATGCCTCGTCTTCAGTGTATATTTTGCCACCCTCCATGAGAAAGGTTCAAATTTTGATAGAAAATTGTTCACTAATGGTCTAGTTTTATGTTTTTTTGTGTGGATAGGCTGTTAAAATAGACTATGCTGGTTCAGTGCTAGCGGTGTTTTTATTTTGCAATAAATAAAGCCCCATTTGATGGAACAGTACCTGGGTACTAGGGAAGAGCAGGTGATTTTTCTAGTTAAGAAATTGATAAAAATGGAAACATTTGTGTGGTTCAATTCCTGGATAAAATTCTGTTCAATCAGCTGTGTTGCTAGGTCTAAGTACGTAACTGACGCTTGTTTATTTCAATGGGAATTCAGTGCTTTGGGGTTGTTCAAGGGTTAGGCCCTTGACAGCTCTCATTTTTTTCTAAATTTTTTTAACCCATAGGTTTAAAATTCAAGTGAACCACTTGACATCTCTGCTCTGAGTCACTGTGTGTTAACCTAGTTTCTCCGTAGTATAAGATGTGTGTCTCTATTTGGATTCTTGTAGGATGTTTCAGTTATCAGTAGTGGAGAGAAAGATTAAGAAGTTGTATTTGTTTCAGCATTTCATGTATCACCACATATTTCACTAATCTTTTTAATGTAAGAATTTCATTGTGATAGAAAGAATCTGTGAAAGGCTCTTTGCATAACTGTGCAGGCTGTCTACAGGTTCTTGGTGTGCTCCTGTATACCAGGAAGACTTTTTGGTGTGAAATCTACTTATATCTGAATACTAGCGACTGGTTTTAACATCTAGGGGTAGAACATTCCTGCAGCTGTTTGCAGTTATTTTAATCCATTACACTGGGAAGAAGAAGAAGAAGAAGAAGATCATAATTCTTATCTCCTCTACTTCCTGATTGGCCATTTAAAATCTACTTACATATTTAATTTCTGATGTACTTTTTGTTCTCAACAGTTTATTGAAGATCTGCAGGCTGTGCTTGATCTTGTAGTCCTTAGAAAAAGAAAAACAGGTATTTGAAGTTGATGAGAATTGATCAAAGAAAATGCACAGATGAATCTTGTACTCTACACTAGTACTGCTATTAGATGTGCTTCGTGGTGTTTCAAGAATGCCACAGTCAGATATAGTCACTGACATGTCAGTTTTTCACGTGTCTAAAAGTTCTGACACGTTGCAAAAGGAGACCTGTGCTTCATCTTTGATCCAGGAACAGCTAGCATTTTCTTCTACCACTTCTGGTTTGGATGCTAATTAACTGTCACTTGCCATGGATGACAGCCATCTTTTTTTTTCAGGAAGTACTAATTTTCTAATACCAACTCAGAACAGAGTGGACTTGGATTCAGTTTTTTCCAGTGTCATCTGCTGAGCAGGTTGTGACTGTAATTGCTCAATATATGCTTCAAGTCAACATTTTAGGGAGTGAATGAAATAAAACTGGGTAGCTGCGGAACAGTCACAGGAAGAAGGACAGGGAGAGAGGACCTGTGAGCTTTCTGAGATGAGAGCAGGGATAGTGATGCATAAACAGGTTGTATTTTGTACTTGCATAATGAACAATCAGTGATCAGGGGGACTTTACACCACTGATTTTAGACATTTACAAAGGGACAGAATGCTGATGGATGGAACAGTTGGCGGTGTACTGAAGGTGAAGTACAATTCCCCTGCATTACAGTTAAGAGCAGTAGTTGCTCTTGCTAGTAGGTCATTGTGTTCCAGTATCCTGGTTGTGTCTCTTTTCTCCATGCAGTCCTGTGTTTGTGGCCTTCTGTTACAGTGGTTAGGGATTTTTGTACTTCATTAACCAGCAGTACCTACTTAAGAACATCTTTGCTGAGGTTTTGTGGTTTGAATTTTATTCCTAATTTGTGTGGAAGACGTGTTCAAGAGAAGTGCTGACACATGAGATGCAGGAACACCTTAGGCTCTGCCTTGGTTAGAAAGTTGTTTCCTTCTCTGTAAAGAAATGTGAGGAATAACCTCCTGGAGAAAGAATTAATGAGTTTAAGCTGACTCAGCAGGCATTGGTCTTCTACTGACTACCAGTATCTGTTAGCACATAGTAGGAAGCCTGATCCACTCTGCTATGAATGGTTACCCAGCCCAGACTCACTTGATTCCAAACATTTTTACAAGGTAAGTTCTTATTTATGGGTTAGAGGTGGGAAGGAAGGTGGGTGGGAATTACTGTGTACATCTGAGACTGCGTCTATTTGGAGGTTTAAGACAGGTTGCAAAACAACTTAGATACTGCAGCCTCATTTTCCCTTTTGAATGTAGGTCCCCAAGTCATGACTTCTCAGAACTGTTACTTCTCTGCCTTTTAATCTTTCAGGTGCCCAAGATTTTTGCAGGTAAGATTGCTGTGAACCTATAATGCAGCTTCTAAGTGCCCCAGGGCATGCAGTTGTTGTTAGTGCTGACAGTAAGTCTTAAGTTGACCCCTTATATTCTGTCAAGCTACATGAGCATCCTTATCCTGTTTTGTGTAGTTTTTGTGTATTGTGGGTTTCTTTTCTTTTTTCTTTTGGTTTTGAAAGCTTAGACATCTTTCTCTAAGAGATTGTTGGCATCTGAGAATACTGTGGTTAGACAACGAGTTTAGATTTGAGGAATGCCCTTTAGAAATGCCTCTTTTCTGGGATTTTCGTTGTAACACATACCATGGCACTACCTGAATTTTTTTAGATTATTTTTTTTTTTTTTCACATTAACTTGGAATGTAAGAAGAATTCTAAATATGAATTATTTTTGTGATGAAATTTCGCTGTTGTTTTTTTTTTTATTCCATCTTTCTAAAATGTGAACAGGAGGTATGTGCCTAAAATTGGCTAGGACAGAGTATTCAGAATCAGCACCCACTCATTTCTGTCTGAGTGAAGTATTGACCCACTTTGCATTTCAAGCATCCAATCCAACAAGTTCTTTTTGTGTGCTAATAATCTCAATGAATAATCCTGCTGCCTGTATCCATACATATCATCTTCTGTACAAGTGTATCTCTTTAGCATCCAGTTGTGCTCTCATTTGGGCAACCTGACACTTAGTTTTTGTGAATTTGAAAGCTGGATCAGCACTCTTGAGAACAGATTGCAATAAATCTTCAAGAGCTCTGAGATAAATTTAGTGGATTGGAATTTTTTTATTTCTGGAAGTGCAGCTAAAAAGCATCCAGCAGGTACATTGTTGTTATGCAAACCCAAGAACTGTAATTTCTTCGAGTTATAAAAAGCTGAATTAACTCTTCTCAAAGTAAACATGCCAAACTCCTGGTTACCTAAGATTTTTTTTCTCCAAGTAATGTGGGGTTAGAACTGTAATTTTTATTTCAAACAACATAAAACCTTCGTAATACCACCCTTAGCTTTTTTTTTTTTTTTTTTCTTTCTTTAGCAGACATAATTTCTGAAGCAAATAGAATAGGAAACTCTTTTGTTTGGGTTTTTTATCAGTGATGGTTTTTCTTACCCTGAATGAAATAGCATTATTGGTGTATATTATGCAATGGTGTCCATTATTTAAATAAAATAACTACGCTTTTCACTTAAACCTTAGCCTATTTGGTGATGAACACTATCTATAGTGCATCTTATGACCAAATTAGTCAAAGTTTGGTGATGAATTTTTGAGTTTTGGACTGTCTTTTGAACTGTTGTCTGGGTTGGGAAGTTAATACTTGTTTTTAAATACACAAAGGTAGACACTGTCAACTTGAATGTCTAATTAACCAGTTCACAATTTCTCACAGTATAAAATTATGTTTCAAGCTGCAATATCTGCAGTTTGAATGATAGAGGTGAGCTTAAAGAATTGTTTTCTTTTGAGGTTGCTCAAAACCTCCAAATTTTGAGTATTTTGGTATTATACTTAATGGGTTACTAGTTACTAGTGTGAAAGGGTCTGTATTATGGATTACAGAAATGTATGTAGTGAAGCATTTGATTTCAAGCAGCTAGATGGAGCCTTTGAAAGGCTGAGTTTTTCAGTACTTATACATCACAAGGATCATTTTGTGCACTAA